CACGTTCAATGCTCCTGTTGCACCCCCAACCTCTCTATCATTCCTGGTCCACCAAAAGTATAAAACCAACTGCCTGGCAGTGCAGCAGCATTTCTAGTCAGGGAGCTCTGAGGGAGTCAGTTGATTTCATGGCTCATTATCATCTACCTGATTCCTTCTAAATTTCATTCCACAGGTGTTAATGACCCTCCCTCCTTCTTAATGGTCTTGATGTTCAACTAATCAGGCTAACCTTCCTTCTGCAATTCTGCTGCATTTTAGGTTCTCCTGTTGTTGAAACTCATATTGCACAGTCCTTCAGACTGCTTATAACTCTAGCTAAAAGTAAAAACATTAACTTGGGTATGGAAATAACTTTTGGTGAAGCATTGGATGCACTGTCAAGATGCTCATGCATGCTAAATTTTTTTAATGAATCTGAAAGAGAAATGTACATTTAATTCTAATGATTGCAGGACTAATGGAACTTGGGATTTTGATTATTCTTGCCTCGTTTGTTGTTTTTTATTCACAATATATGCTATAACAAATTAATGCACATTCCAAGAAATATATATTTTTGTTTTTGCTCTGATCTTAACCTGAAGAATATATCCCTAGGCTTATTAGTAAAGTTTCTAGTTTTTTGTAACGTGGTAAAATATGCATTGTGTTTTGTGTGGTGATGTACCACACCATCTGCATCCACTTGATCATTGCTATGGTAATAGGCAATAAATGGTATGTCAGGAATACTTGGTGAATACTGTCAGCTGATTCCTGATTGTCTGATTTGACGGCAGCAACCAAGCCAGGGGTCCTAAAGCGTGGATGTCACAGAAGAAGAGGGAAGGAGAGCAATGCTACAAGCATCTTACCTTTGGAATGAAGTAGCCTTTGAGAGTGACGTCTACAGTAGTTTCATGAGGTAGATTCAATGGCAGGATATTGGCAAACCTCTGGATTTCATGGACAACAGCATCCGTGTAGGACATCTTAGTTCGATGTTCAGTTCGCGGTGGATTTGATCCTAGAACTCTTGCTATCTCATCTTGGACTTTTTCTGCAGAAGAATTTTAACCTTTTAAGAAGGAAACCAGCATTTCCAAATCCCAAAGAAATGTTGTATGGTTTAGCATGAAATGTATAAACTCATAGGCTAAATGGATGCAAGTCTAAAAATCTTTTTCTCTCTCTATACTTAATGGGGTACAAATAACATCAGATATTTTCATGTATTCAGCATCCTCAAAGAAAAGTGTAGAGCTTCTGAAAATACATGGGTAACTGACTCCCTTCATTAAATTGCCAAATCATAGCATAGTTTAACAGGTGCTAGGTGGAAAGCCTTTGCTGGAGCCATAGTACTCTAGACTGTGCAGTTTTATCCAAGGGTATAGGTTGTAGCCGTGCTGTAGTCTAAGGACATAGGCAGACAAGGTTCTTTGGGTAAATACAATATCTTTTATTAGACCAACTCAAATAGTTGGATAAATTCTTCTTTGCAAGCTTTCAGGCACAAACACCATTTGTCAGGCTGAGGAACCATGTGCAGATGGTCTGTGCTCTTCCTTGATGGAGTGGTAAAACAGCCAGAGGCCAGTACCTATGCATGACAGCCGATCAGTTAAAATGTAAATTGGTCAGTAGGTGAGAGACCCATGGTGGGGTATGGGGAGGGAGGGGAGAATGGCTGTAGCTGTAGTCAAAGGATGAGAGACAGGAGGGTGGTAGGGAAGGGAATGAGAATAGCTGGTAAAAGTGGAGGTTTTTACCTGGGGAATCAGGTGTCAAGCAGGTTCTAGTGTGTCATAAATCCAATGTCTATATTTAGTCTACAATTTTTTGTATCAGTAGGTTGATGAAGTGAAGTTCATATGCTCACCTGTGAAAGGTATTTTGTAAATTCCCTTTGAGTATTAGAGCTGTGAGGTTGCAGGGAGAGTGGTTTTCTTGTGAGAAATGTGCCGCCACAGGTAACTGGGTATTCCACTCTACTTCAGAGCCTATTTTACGTGTAGCAGCTCATAAATTAACTTTGGAGTTCCACAGTTCCAGGTGGGGTGTGTTGGCCATAATGGCAATTGTTACAAGAGCACTTACTCTGAATTTTGGGGTACTTCATCATTAGGAGAAAGCCCCAGCGTAGTGTAGTGGAAGTGGTCTCCATGCCAGCAGCAAACAAATTGCTTACAAGGCTTTTCAAATTCTCATTGTGGAAATAACCATCATTGTCATTTTTCTCCTAAGAAGTGGAAAGGAAATATAAATTAAAACTACAGAGTCTCTATTGGAAGTTTGTATCTTAGCAAACAAAGAAATAGGTACTAAATAAGGTCTGTATTATTTAATTGCAAGCAAAAACTAAAAAGGTTATGATCAGATGCCCTGAGAAACACACTGATTTCTCTACCCAAACTCAGTCTGCCAGGCCTTGAGTACCTTGGCCCCAGTTTGGTCATTTACGTATGCATGTGCTTTGCTTTAAACACATAATCAAACTCACTGATGGCAGGAGACATTCTAAAAACAATTCAGCATCAATGGGATGTCCTTTGAGCTTCAAGGTGTGCTTGTGTTTAAGTCTATTATTGCATCAGGTTTGACATGCTCAGCCTCTTGACAGGCCTGAATTTGTAAATACAGATATTTTCCCTCTATAACCATAACAGTCCTGAGATCTACAGCTATAAGAAGCTAGGGTGAGATCTAGAAAGGATTTGGTCACAGTGATATACAATGTGTTGGCCACAGACTTTTTGGTGCCTGACGTTTAATGGACTTGTCCACCCTGATTTAGTTGACCAGCTGCTTCGTGCCTAGAAGGGGCAGGCACTGAAGACTGGGACCCATAAAGGGAGTACACTGACAGCTAGAGGGGAGGACATGCAAGGGACATGGATGTGACCTAAGCTATTTTTCTCACAGAGGTTTTGAGGCACAAATCCAGGCTGTAGGAAAGTACCCTCCATCACTTGGGGTTCATGTGGTGAATATCCTGAAGGCTAGTTAAGCAAGAAATTTCTGGCAAAAGATGGTTGATAGAAGGTGCTACCACCACAGACTCCTCCATCATTTTCTATTGGCCAAACTATTGACCTGGAGGGTGAGGGACAGGCTCAAATCCCTCCTGTCAGCACATCTCAGAAATCTACCTCTCCCACCTTACCGGAGAGCAATTTAACTACCAAGATATTGTGTACTCTGGTGTGGACTGTTCCTAATTTTTTCTGTCAAAGTTGTATAAAATGCTTAAATATTCACTGGGGTAAGGAATTGAATCACAATCTCTCTCAACCGAGATGAATATCTTAGTCACTAAAGAACAGTGTCTTTCTCTGTCTCTAAGACCCAATGAATATTTAAATATTGTTTACAATGTGGATCATTTTCGAAAGGAAATCATGGGTGAGGCCTATTCCAGAATATGCTGTGCCATGGGGCTCCTATACACACCAGAGATTTTAATCCTCATTAAATTGACTAGGTTTATAACATTTAAACTTGTTTCCTTTGTGCGTCGCATCTGTGTTTACATACACTAGGTTTTTGAACTAATTAAGCAAGGTCCCTGGCCAGTGCTGCAGGAGTGTGGGATGGTCCAGTGCTGCCCCTCTGGCCTGGGGCCCCCCACTCACCCTGTGCTCATGCCCTGCCATGCAGCTGCGGAACCAGGGAGCCAGCCAACCACACAAAAGAAAAACGGTGCAAGCAATTCAAAAGCAAAAGCAATTTGAATGGGTGAACTGCAAAAAAGTCACAGCACCATCTGGTGGACAAAGAGGTTCATTACACATCTTTGAGTGTCTTGGTGTTTGCAT